AGTGATATTTTTGTAAATAAACACTAATAAATGATATTTTTGTAAATATATACATTAAAAGTAGTATTTTTGTAAATATATACCTCAAAAGTGGTATTTTTACAGTTGCCCAAAAAAAACATAAACGAATGTTGATGACGTGGCGTGATTGTATTCGTTCTTAGAAAATCCCCGTTTGAGCGGATAAACATCAGGAGAAAAATCTTTAAAAGTGAATTATGATTTCATTGTGATCCAAAGTGGGGCCCACTATAGATCTAAATCCGAACCTTTAGATCGCCACGTCGGCAAAATTGGTGGGCGTTTACACGTGGAATTTAACGAAACACCGCGTAGCTGATTATTCCATTTTCCGATTAAACAATTTTGATTATTCTTCCATCGTTTGTTCAATTTCCTTCTCAATTTTTTCATGAACTTCATTCACAATTTTCCTTTTAATTCTTCTTTAAAAATATAGTAAAGACCAGAAAATTTGAAAAAAAGAAAAAAATTTAAATTCAGTCGACACTAATAAGTAATTCAACGTGTGAATCCACGTGGAATGACAGGTGGGAGCGAAGTCAAGTGCATGTCATGTAAGATTTGTTTTACTTTCAACACGGTTCATCAGAATATGGACCACTCGCTGACTATTATTGTCGCTAATTATTTTACTATTTCTTACTTCTTACACATTCAGAAACCCCACAAAAATCTTTTAACACAAAACACCACACAAATCTTTAGATACAACTAATAATAACTTGTCATATTACAAGTTTGATTCACTGTTATGCACATATGATCCTTGTCCCATTACTATATGCGTTCACGCGGCTTTATAACGTACCATATTTTGGGAATCTGACAGTTGTATATATATGATAACAAAAATTTATATAGAAATGCATCGGATCCAAAAATATTAAGAAGAAGAGTACATATACTTGTTTTTATTTGGTCGACAGTACATATACTTGTTTCTATTCTTTATATATTATTTGTTATTTACCCATTGCGAAAATAAAATATATTCATACAATCATTCAAAGAATATATAATTAAACATAAATTTGAAAGGTAGTATTTTTTTTTCACCGGGCAATTTACAATATATAGAAAATGTTGTTAGCTAATTATAATGGCAGTCTTTTTTCAGTAGCTAAGTGCTTTCTTATACTGATAGGAATGTTAGGTGCCTACTAATTTA